TTCTTCTTCTGTACATGATGTTGCCTGCACCACACAATCTTTTGTTAAGAATTTAGTATTGAAAAAGATTTATCCTTGCAATTGTAAGCATCTGAGCTGGCTCAGTGTACCTTATGGAACGACAACTGTTGTGAAACGTATGCCTTTTTTATTTGTAAATATATTTTTAAGGAAATCTTTAGCAAGCTGGCCTGAACTTTGAAAAACATTCAGAAATTTTGTGAATGCAAGCTACATCCATAACTAATCTACATCATGCTTGTCTTCTCAAACAAATGAAGTCAACAGATGATGTCTTGCCATTAAAATGAGTTACGTGGCAAGAGAGAAACTGGTGTCTTAGAAACAAGCTGACCAGGCTACTATAATTTAGTATGAAGAGGTACTAAAAGTTCATTATAGGAAGCATATAATATCAAGATTTGTATCTTAGGACCAAGATGAATCCGCTGAGGGATGCAGCATTTCTTGAGTACATCTGCAAAATAGTTTAGAGTACAGAAGCAAGCTTGATTTGGCACTTCACAAAGGCAAAAGCAGATGATAAGCCTTGGGTAGGCAGAGGCTGAAAATACTGAGAATGTTCAGCTTAGAGAGCAAAGAAGCAGGAGTGAATGCCATGAAAAATTTGAAAGAAGCAAAGAATGTGAAGCAGCAAAGTAAAGCCTACCTATCCTTTTGTAGAGTACAAGAACATTCAGAATATTGAAAAGTGGGAAAGAAGGGAGAGCAGCACATTAAATAAGACTGTACAATGTGTAAATACCCTGTGGAACCTTCTGCCCAATTACACTTAGAAGCTTAAAAAAATATATGTATTTACATAGATTGAGAGAAGAGTCTAGTTAAGTAGTGTATAAGGGATAAAATGCCACATGTTTCAGGACCTAGCTAATAATACAGGAAATTTTCTAACAGTGCATTTCACTCCATGATCATACAGTGCAATGATATTCAGGTCCTTTAAGCGACAGACACTGACATGGGCAAATAAGATCAGCATTAAAATAATAATTAAAAAAAGTACTATCAAATCAGATGCTGACACAGCTCAAAAAGCCATCTGGGTCCAGAACACTGCTAATTTTGAAAACTTCTATTTCTCTTATTTTTAAAACTGCAAATCTTGAACTCCGGAATCTGAGCTTCAAAATAAGTTATTTCCTTCTGATTTGTCATTACTTGCAATAAAGACTAATTTTTGCCATTGTTGATATGCACATAATGCAGCATCTCCATGTCTGGATTTGCCTAGGTATGAGGAAAGAAGTGCATTCGTTGGAGCTTTCTGGAGAAAAACTGTGCTGTTATATCCTTGTAATCACCACTCACTGCTTGTGGGACATCACATGCAGGAAATCCTTTTAAGCTCCAGCTGCACATCCAAATGTTAAAAATTTGTAGACACTTAAGACAAACAAGAAGTACCTCACTAAACCTATCTACTATTTGTATTTTCAAATACCACTGCTGAACATATCATTTAGATAAACACACTCATGTATGATTAGTTTATAACAAGTTGCTCACTTTGAAACAACATCTCTGTATGTGTAGCATTTTAATACTCTCATATAAAGGAAAACCTTAAGGGCAAGTGAGATACAATTTCAACATATCAGCTGTCTTGGAATTCTTAACATCAGCATACCATCTTTGCCTGTCAGCACAAAACTTTCACTTGGCCGCAGATGGTTGTGAATAAAAACAACAGTGAGTGCTGGGTCTAGAAGGCAGTGCAGACAAGGAGCAGAATGCTCAAACAGTGATGAATAAAATTGCATCTTTAAAGAAGGAGAGATGTGAGGTCAGTTCACTAAACAATAACCATCAAAATAGTCGAGCAGGACAGTTAGAAATTCCTAGCTTATTTCGTAAGGTAATACAACTTTTGGAAGAGATTAATCAGAAGAATTCCCCACCTTTAAGATGCAGCTGCTCAGCTCTCCTCTGCACAAGTACTACAGAAGCACTGCACACCTGACTTGTGTTTGTTAAGGTAATTGGAAGAGAAGTTAAATGGAACAAGCTAATCTAGACAGCAGAAGGTGTCATCTCTATCAGCTGAAATAATGATGTAAAATTAAGCTTGCTGGTGAGTAGCCTCTGAAAGGGGAAAAAAAAAAAAGCACTGAAAGGGATTGTTTTCAGCTCCCACAAGAATTCCTTATAAGCCTCATCCTTTTCATCCCAACCAGAAGGATTTGCAAACTCACACAATCTCCTCACGTTGTCCCACAAAAAGAAAGGGAGGAAGAGTTGTGTCTTCACTGTACACAGCATAATGTAGAACAAAATATTTGTTCTCCCTTAGCCTGCATTACTATTCTGCACAGCAGGCTGCTATTTCATCTCTCACAAGCATTTGTGTACACGCAGACAGATAGGATGGCTTTAGCTTGAAGGAGCACTTCTGGAAACTCCCCAGTCATACTACAGCAACAGCCCACATACAGCACAGAGATGGTTGGAGGAGCAGGTCCTTTATCTGCAAGTGCACTATGCTATCAAGATAACCAGGTCCAGGAAGTAAAGCAGTGCTAGACAGACTTCTGCATGACAAACTGGGGCAGTCAGTATCCATCTACTCAATTTTCCTGAGCACACCAGTTTTATATCAGGTATCTTCAACTTTTTAAAAATACTGGAATTGTTTGGAAGAGGAACAAGATAGGTGCACATACACACAAAAAGCAAGGCATTCACATATCTTCCGTATCCAATCCTGTATTTCCCAGAAGGAGATCAGCCATGTTAGAAGATATCCATCCCAGGACGTAGTGCACCCACATGTTCCAGCTGACCTTGGCGTGCTGATTACACCCCACAAGCTGGAGCAGTCATTAATGTCCCTTTGGACTACCCAGGTGAACTACTTACATGCTAAAGACCGGTTATATGCTAAGCATTTAAAAGAACTGGAATTCATGAAAAATTCTTAATGAATTGGACACAAAATATCACATGGCCTTCACACACTGACAGAAAGGCACACATGTACATCAGTATGGGCTACAATAAGAATAAGCTGTGCTTTTTTGTCTTCAATATTACTCTGTGGGTGTTATATACCCTTAGTAAATTTAAGAAGCTGTGTGAGCAAAAGATGTTTGTAGGCAAAAATCACTCGTTCATTTATTTTGAGACAAGTGTTCATGTATTAGGAATCAAAAAACGTGCACTGCTGGAAACAAGCACCCCAGTTAAAGCAGAATATATAAGTATATACTAAGTATAACTACCCCAGGGGGTTCCTACTGCTTGTCTTAACAGCACTGTGGGACTGACTTTCTGATGGAGCGCAGCGAGCAGTGATGGAAGAGGTGAGAGGCACTTCACCACATGCAGTGCAAGGTTAGCTACCACCACATACAGGCGTGGAGATAGCTCACATTGTGCAAGAGAAGAAACATTGACTGCAATCTGCACAGGAAGGATTTATAATTCACCAATTATACTTCTATTAATGAGGGTTTGAAATAGTTGTAAATCACAGAGGGCTTCCCTGTCCAAGGCACTGTTTGTCTTTTGCCACTTCCTAGCAATTGGACCTACCAGAGCTAGAGCTTCCTATTGCTCCTCCTGTGGCATTGGGCAGCAGCTCTTCTTCATCTAGGAAGCACTCCCAAACATACCATAGGAACATGACCTAGGAATCCAAGTCAGGAATTCCTACTCCCACCTCCAATTGCTTTCTTCAGGTGGTTTAGGTAGGGTTTTTTTTCCTCCCAGCTGATACGAGGCTGTATTTTAGGCCTTTCAATGTTTGTCTTAACATTAAGGCATATTAACTGGGCAGTCACTGTGATGTCTGCTGATGGTACCAAACAGTAACTGGAGTCACTATTTCTATACATGAGTCTACCCTGTATTTGTTTCCAGAAGGAAGAGGCAGTGACATTTCTCACCATGTAAAACAAACACAGAAATGCCTTGTGGCATTTTCAGAGAATGAAGTACCATAAGCCCACCAACCTGACTAGGTATTAGAACTCAAAACACCATTAAAGAATTCCAGTGTTTGGAGAACATTTTTGCATGAATAGTCACCTGATTCAAGTACCCTAAGGCCAGAAGCCAGTGGCTGTGCTCTCTGGCATCTCTTTTGTTCTACTGTAACCTCTCTGAAGGAGTCACAGGGTGACAGCAGAAAAACCTGGACTCTTGTTTTCTTTTGAAAATGGTCAAGAGCTTTGAGATGGAAAGGTGACAGGAGAACAGTTCAGAGATTCAGCAAAGCACTCAGACTTCCAACAGAAGTCAGCCACTAAATATCTGCAAGCTTTTGCCAAAAAAGACCAAAGAAAAACATCACCAACTATACCTGCATCTCAAGTCACACAGAGAGTCACTGAAAGCTCTGTGCCATAGATGTAGCAGCTCTGCATAGCAAGCAAAATGGGATAATTGTTGGGAAGGCATTGATAAGAATCAGATGCACGCATTGAAACACACTGACCACATTTCTATCAGTCTGACCTTACAAGGAGACTAGAAAAGAAACCAAGTTTAGAAAGAGCCGTGTATTATTTTGCAATAACTTGAACATGAATCAGTGCTTTAGCCCTACTGCCCAAAGATAGCCATGACTACCTAAGGATACAAATATCAGAAGTTTGATTCAGTCTAGAGACAAGTAAGTTGTATGATTTGAGACATTTCAGCACAGATGTAAGACTCCATGAATGCTTTAGAGCACAGAGTGGTCAAACAGGCTCAAGAATACCCTGTTAATCCTCAAACTTAAGAGCTGCATGAAAGGAGAAGCCTGGAAACACACGTTTTGTTTTGACACTGCCTACATAAAGAGACACCTCAGTCCGGCCACAATGGAGAACAGCAAGTTTAAATCCATTCTGCAAAAATAGAATGGATTGTGAGTTTGACCCTTATTTCTGACCTCTAAACTTTTTTTTTTTTTTTTTTTTAAACAGAAGCGTTGGCTTTTGTTTCATGATCTCAGAAGAACAAGCAGAGGGGTTCAGCTGGAGTTCAAAAAAAGTAAGAGTAGTCAAGAGATGAAGCTGCAGATCTTACAACTAGCATCTGCAGAAGGAAGAGTATTGAATGATGAGCAGGGAGGGGAGCAAAAGACTCAGTGCTACTGGCCTGATCATAGAAAAGCTGAGTGGTGACTTCATGGACGCTTTTAAAGGATACCAGGTGCTAGAAATAGACCTTGGGAGCAGAGAGTAAAGCACCACTCTCCAAGTGAGGGATTCTTCTGGAACGTTCAATCAGCTGTGTCAAAGTACTGAGAAAAAGGAAACTTGCAGGTGGGAGTTTAAACATTGAATAAGTCTCTTGATACAGGCAGCACAAGTGAGAAATCAAAGGGGAAAACCAGCGCAGAAGAATTAAGCAGACAGAGGGCAGCAATACTTAAAGGAAAAGGAAAGATGATCCCTGCACATCTGTGCAACTTAAGACTAGATGCTTTGTACAGCAGTTTTGGTTCATAGTCAGGTTGTAATGTAGCCTTAGTCACTCTGCAATTTCCATTTCATGTTCAGGACACTTCTGAATCTTCAAGGACCATTTCAAACATACAGGCTAGCTACTATTGAAGTAAGTGCTTCACTTGCCATTCTATTGCACTACACAGGGTCAGGTATTGGTGTTGTAGATACTATAGTCACACATCATTTGTGTGAGCAAAACACAACACTCTGATATCAGAGAGCTTTTCAGAGGTTCTTATTTACTCAGGAAGCCTCAGTGCTCCGTAACAGTTCCAAAACTTACCCAGTACTACAGGAGATAACAAGACAACAATTGTGCACCAACACATACCTGAGTGATGAGACCTCAGCAGATTACAAGCTTCTTTCAGGCCTAGGTTGAAGTTCTGTGACACCTAACAGCATGCTCCTTTCTTCCCAAACATGGAGGTGGCTTGCTTCATGCACCTCTAACTCTCCTTTTCATCTACTGTCCCCTCACCTAAATACACACCTTTCTACCTACTGTCAAAATGCAAGTGCACACAGTATGTCTGTCCTTTTGTGTAGTTCTTCTTCCTCAAGGCTCCTCTAAGCCACACTATAGCCTCACCAGCTTGTCTCTGCCATTTCTGTTAAGAGTCTTAAGGCTCCAATTGTGTTGTCCAGGCAAACAGTAGAAGTCACCACTTCAGGATGATGACATTAGCATAGCTTCTGTAATGGCCACAAAACAAAATACATTTGACAAGAAGTCCTCTCACCTGGTTCTCAGGTTATTTTACAGGCTTCTTACATCCAGCACATGTAGTTTTCCTAGTTTATCCTATATACCATTAAATACATGTTTATGAATCAAAATGCTAGCAAATGCTTTTCTGCTCTGCTTCCTATTTTTAATACATTTACTATTCACAGTTGTTTTTTGGAAAGCAAATCACAACAAAAATACGTTCCAGTCACAGCAATCTATTCTCTTATGACAATAAAGAACAGGCAGTACAAAAAGTTGAATTTTTAAGCTAGGGTAAACACAGTAGAAATAATAAATACAGTTATGGCTTAAGACCTTTGAATGGCTCTTGAATAGCCCATATTATGAATTGTTTGAGCTTGAACTCCAGGAAATTTAATTTAGCCTTACTACTGCTACAAGTCCCTTGCCGTAGCTCTGGGGAACATCTCATTTGTAATAACAGAACAGGGAAGAGTTTTAAGAAAAAGAACTGAATAGACTTTGAAGGGCTGGAGAAATAAGGCTTTCCTCATTTCCAAGCAAGGGCTTCCCTTGTATTTTCCCAGAATGAACTCAACAGGGACAGGGTTAAGTCATGATACGCTACCATTATAAGCCCTTGAGATCCTCTAGAAAGATAAAAAGAGCCAAGAAACATGAAATAACAGGAAAAGCAATGCAATCTTACTCGAAGGGTGGGTGACGAAGCTGTCTCTCCTAGGACCACCAGTGCTTGTACAACCTGACAGCTCTTGTCCTGTACCACAGGGCTTCCAAGGAAATCAAACACAATGGTGCTGCTACATCTACTACTCCATCCAACTACTACTCAAACACGTTGCTTACAGCAGAAAGGGAACTCAGGTACCCCAAAATGAAGAGGCAGAAAAGCTGTAGAAAAGCGAGTAATAAACTATGAGAATAGTTACCTGGTGATTTAGAGTAATTAGAGTGATTTACAGTTCCTTCTGAGTGACTGAAAGAGACAGAAACCCAGCACATTACAGGGAGCTGTTGGTGAGCCATACAGCCTCTACAGAAGGAGGACCAGAAACACATAAATCAAAAGCAACTTGAGATTGCCCATTAATTCTGAATGCTTCTGCCAGCAGTTACTATCTGATGGGAAAGAATGAGCTGACATCCACTTAAGAAAAAAGGAAGAGATCAAATACACCCAATTACTGAAAGAAATAACTAGGGAAATATTTCATCATCATTTTTATCTTCTCCCTCCTCTTAATCCCAAACTTCACAGTACCTTAATCCAACTGGAAGCACTTCTTTTCTTTTCTTTCTTTTCTCCCCCAATAATGCCTTCCATCCAGCCCCTTGTTTTGGGCACCTCATTTATGGAGGTGCTCAGCCCTCCCTTCCCAGCTGCTTCTGACTGGGCTGGTTAATTGCAAACCACTGTGCTCTTCCCCTACCAGCCTGAGAGTTTCATGGTTCCTTGAAGTCACTCAGTGCCCCTTAAAGCCATGCTGGTTAAAGAACTCTTAGGTTCTCAGTTAACGAGGAATACCTACCTTTGTCTACCAAGCCTCCTTCTGTATGCTGAAAGGTATCAGCAGCTTCTGAAATGCTCCTTTGCATATATTTTTTTAAACAAAGGAGTAGAGGCTAGGCTGCTAACCTCGTGTGGTTTGCTTTCTATGAGGAACTGGAGGAGGGAACTCTTCCAGAATACAAAACAATATTCAGCAAAAATGAATTTCAGAGATGTATGTTGCTTTGTTTACAGGAACTAATTTTAAAATGAGTCTTCAGCATTCACAGCAAGGCCTGGCTTAGGGAGCACTGAAATAAAGTTGGAATATTTTCCTCCTGATAACATTTTTATGAAGCTTGTCATCAAAACCTTCAAAAGTGACCATTTCCTTGGAGCTCCAGAAAGGTACATTTTTTAATTAAAAAAGGAAAAAAAAATAAAAAGGAAATTTCATCTTCAAAGACTTCTTTTAACAGAATTTCCACTAATAGCTTTCACCAAAAAAACTCCAAGAAAAACAAAATCTTGGCCAGTTGTATTTACTTGACTCTGTTTGCATGCTCACCCAGTGAGGGAAGACAAACAGCTGCTCATGATACATCTGACCTATCACTGTGGATCTCCTGGGTTGCAGGGCTGAATGCTAACCACTATGTGCTGCCAGTTTGCAGTGCTCCTGGCTACTTGGGAGAGGTTTGTTGTGCTGATGGGCATTATTGGTTGTGTTACTGGAGCAAATTCAGGAGTCTTAGTGCATGACGACACAGTTTATATGTGCTGGAGGAGATGTAAAGCAAGATTCTTAGATTTAAAGATACAAGATACTTAGATTTAAAAAACTACCCCAAATCTAAGATGCCAATAACCACCATTCCACCCCTGACCTACAGACTTTACTGTCTTGAAGGGAGCTGTATACAAGCAGATAGTGATAGGATGAGGAAATGGCTTTAAACTAAAAGAGGGGAGATTTAGGCTAGATGTTATGAAGAAATTCTTTACTCAGAGGGCAGTGAGGCCCTGGCACTGCTGCCCAGAGCTGTGGTGCCCCAACCATGGAGGCACTGAAGGCCAGGTTGGATGGGACCTGGGCAGCCTGAGCTGGTGGCGGGCAGCCATGCCTATGGCTGCAGGTTGGGGCTGGGTGAGCCTTGAGGTCTCTTCCAGGCTACATTATTTTGTAAATCCATTATTCTATTAGAGCTGCTCATTCATCTCTTCTTCTGCACCTCAAGGCCCACATGCAGAGCATGTGACAAACTCTCCAGCACCTGTCCTCAGCATTTTCAGTCTGAAACTTGGTTCCAGAAACCGTGATAAAGACAGTACTGAGCCCACTCCTATTACAGAGTCACATATCTAGGCGTTGCTTGTCAACCTTGTAAAGAGGCAATGGGAAAAACAAAAAGAGCTTAATAATCATGTAGGAAAAAGGAGGAGGAAGGATGCAATCCTGGCATACCCCATCACAGTGCAGAGAGGCAAGAAAAACCCCACTCCTTCCTTTTGTAGTGCGAAATGCCTTATAATTTAAAAAGGCTTACATTGCAGCGGCTGAAACATCAGTGCTTTTCCACTGGGTTTTCTGCCTGCAGTACTGACAACTGTCAGAAAGTTGCCTGGAAGCAAGAAACTCTGCCAAAACAATACAGCACAAGGGAAAGACACAACTGAAAGTCACATCTGAACAGGCAAGACACCGTGCCAAAGCAGTCAGCAGCTCTGTGGATATTCTAGACCATTTAATCCTTCAAATATATGCCAAATATATACCTGCAAGTCCTCAGCGGACAGCTTTGCTTCACTGAGAGGCTCGCTCCTAAGCAAAGCAAATATTGGTTCCTTCCTTCTGCTGCAGCCTCTAATAAGACACATTACAACTTAAACTAATGATCCTAATTGTCATACAGTGCAAATAATCGCCCCCCTAATAATCCTGTTCTTGGAGCTACAGTCCAGCAAGTAGGTCTCCCCATCTGCAACCCCACTGTGCTCGAGGTAACCGCAGCAGAACAGAGCAGAGCAGGGGCACTTGCTACCCAGTGCTTTCCCTTTGCTTCCTGGTAACACCTGGCCATGCTGCTGGGCGGTGCCCCCCAAGAGCAGTGCGCAGCAGCCTGAGCAGTGGGGTGATGCTGATGTGCTGTGGCACTTGCTGGCGCTGCCTGCTTTCCCTCGCGGTGAAGATTTGTTCCCTGCTGCAGATGTGCGCAGACTCAGCCCAGGGCAACAGTGAGAAGCTCCCTGGCACCATCTCGGAGGGGGACTGCTGCTGGTGACGGTCCCTGGGGAGAGGGTGGGCAGGAACCTGTGTGTGAGCAGCCCACGCCGTCTCTGCGGTGCTTTTTTAACCCTCGGGCTGTGACTGCAGAGGGGAAGGCGGAAAGCGGCGCTCTGCGCGGAGACAGCCGCAGCCGAAGGAGGAAAAGGGGCCGTTGCCAGCACACCACGAATCCCTATTGCTGCCGGGGGAAAGGTCCCTCCAGCTTTTCCCTCTGCTGGGCAGGAGGGACCGAGAGCATTTTGCACGCTCTATTTTCCTGGCAGCTCAAAGCAAAGCCCGGGGCTTTGTTGTGAATTGCTTTTTCTGTTCCTTGCAAATATTTAACCCGTCTTTTCCTCCTGCCAGCCTGCTGACAGCACCAAGATGCCACTGCAAAGCACAGGCCAAAAGGACAGAGTGCACTTGCATTCCTTCAAAGTCCATCAGCAACGCAGGGCTGAGCTCTCAGTAGGGCTGCTGAGCTGAAAAGAGACCAGCAGGGTCTGGGGAACAGGCTGTCCCCAAGCAACATGCAGGTGGCTAACGTAAATGTATGGCCAGAATAACACCCCCCCGCCCCGGCCACCGCTGCAGGATTTTTGTCGCGGTGTTTTCTTCCAATCTCTGCCGCCCTCTGCTGATGCAAAACCAAGGCAGAGGAGAGCCCTTGTGATGAGCCAAAGCGTCAGGTTTTTGCTGCAAAAGCTCACTCATCCTCGTTAAACAGCCAGCGCAGGCACAGCCCGTGTTTTCTCTCTTAGTCCCTGACAGAAACCCTGAAGCCGTAGAGCACATCGCTCGGGGTAGCATTTTCTTGTTTAATCACACCGCAGTGCTTTAGAAGTTCATCCTCATTGCCTTGCAAGAAGTAAATACTGGTTTAACCAATTTACAAACAAATAGAGAGAAAAACAAAAACAAAAAAAAAACAAAAACAAAAACAAAAAAAAAAAGCAAGATGAGGGTAAAAGGCTCTGTCTTGAAACTACATCCCTACACTTTCAGTTTCCCACCTGATTTTCTCCCTGCACCTTCAGAAGCCATTCTGCAGCACTTAGCCTTAACCCATCTGTGGCTGCTTACAGCCCCAAATTCCCACCGGCAGCTCAGTGAAAGCATCAGACCACCTCTTGCTTGCCTGGAGTACACCCAGGACTCTGGGGAAGAGCAGAGGTAACCTGAGAGACCTGTGCCTACTCCTGAGCCCAGAGGGAAGCACTTCCCAAACACCCGCTGGACCAGCACCAGGCAGGTTACTCCCACCTGGCTTTGCTCAGCAGCAGGAGGGAGGCAATGCAGCCCTGCAGATAACATACCTACGCAGACATCCAGCCCCTTGTTTCCCTCCTGCATCTCTAGGAACAATCACTTCGTTCCTCAAAGCTTGAATTTCCCCCTCTGCAAAGTGAAGGCCTCATTTCCATCGTAAAGCAGCATGAGAGCCGTTGGTAATGAGATTTATGATTATTGAGGAGTTATTTAGTACAGCTTTTAGATCCTGCCTCATTGATTTTGCTTTACAGACTCTGCGGCTCCTGTTGCTATTACCGTTAGCTCACCCTGGCCACTCAGAGGTTGTTCCTAGAGCAGCACCCAGAGCTTGGAGCTGCATAGGGAAGAGCATTGGCTGCGACCACCAGAAGACTGAGGCTAACTTAGGTCTAGAATATTGCTGAGGAGCTCTGTGGAAAATAGCAGGTGACAGCAGCCCCAGAGCAGGTAATTCCTGCAGCCAGTTCAACATCCCTAGGCCAGGTCTGCCATCCCACACTTCTTTACTCTGCCATATAACCCCCAGTGAAGGGCTTGTGCTCTGAATGGGTTCTCTAAGCTGACATAAGCTTCCATCCTTGAAAATGAGTTGTTTTAATAATCCAAGCTGCAAAACATCAGAATAAAGGGAGACATCCTGTTTGAGTCACAGTGCTTGGTTTCAGGTGAGAATCGTAGAGTCTCATAAGTTGGAAGGGACCTCAAAGCTCATTCTGCTCCAACCCTCAGCCATAGGCAGGGTTGCCTCTCACCAGCACAGGCTACCCAGGTCCCATCCAACCTGGCCTTCAGTGCCTCCAGGGATGGGGCATGACAGCTCTGGGCAGCAGTGCCAGGGCCTCACTGCCATCTGAGTAAAGAATTTCCTCCTGACATCCAATCTAAATCTCCCCTCTTTTAGCTTAAAGCCTTGTCCTAACACTATCTGCTTGTGTAAAAAATTGGTTCCCTTCCTGCTTATAAGCTCCCTTCCAATACTGTAAGGCTGCATGGAAGGCCATCTATTAACCTAACTTACATTAGGATGCGGGTTAGTAGTTGGGAAACACCACCTTGCTCCAAGACTTCATTAGCTTGTCTTACTTGGGTAGCAACTAGCAGTAGTGGGATTAGTAACAACCCCTTCC